CTGGGGTGGGGAGGTCCTGAGGGACAAGGCTTCAGGGCTGTCTGCACACACATGGCCACATCAGCCTTTGCCTTCCCCATCACCTGTCCCCATGGAGAGACTGGGAGAATGTGTTAATGCAGGTGACAGCCAGACCCAGGGCCTGGAGTTTGACAGGCTTGATCCCCTTGCAGTACCCCTGTGAGGTGACCAAGCTAGGCATTTGCCTCAGCCCCACCCCCCAGTATTACCGATGGGGAAATGGAGGTTCCCGGGGCTTGCTTGTCTTGCTCGAAGTCCCCTCTTGATTGGCTGAGAGTGGGCTAGATGGACCCTTGGCACCTTGAGGGCAGAGTCAGGCAGGCAGAGCTCAGGGCACTGGTGTCTGATGGACACTAACATCTCTGAATGACACTGACTTCTATCTTTCCCCAATCTGTAAGCAGCCTGGGATTTGATCAGAGTTGATTATGTCTCTTTCCCCAGGGGTGATGTTTGTTTATGGGAATAAAGCAAAGAATGACAAAGAGGTTTAGGAAAAACCTGGAACAGGCTGGTCCTCAAGGTCTGGGGATGGGGAGGTTTCCGCACTCACCCCCACCCCACAGTTCTGGGCTCCCAGAGTCATCTGCTCATCTCCTCTTCCTCTACATACTCATATTCACCCCTCACACTCCAGTGGCCCGAGCTTAGTCTCTGCAAGGGAGGCTGGTCTAATTGTGTCCCTGCCCAGGGAGAAAGGGAACTGGGGCTTTCTGAAAGGTCTCTGCCACATCCTTCCCATCCAAAATTATCGCATTCATTCATTTTCTGGGCATTGCCTTTCTCTCCCACTGGACTGTAAGCTCCCTAAGGACAGGCATCTTATCCATCTTGTTCACTGCATGTCTCCAGTCCCTAGTACAGTGTTTGGCACATGGTGGGTGCTCATAAATATGGTGGTGCTCATTAATAGCTAAAGCTCAGGCTCTCTTTTCAAGAAAAGAAATGCAAAATCTGGACTTTGATATGAATACACTGAACAGAAGGTAGGGAGGGTAGGACAGAGGCCTGGGGAAGGAGTACAGTCCTAAGATGGGAGCATTTACAAGAGATGGGTCCTGCTAGTCAGAGTATCAGGAAGTAGCCACTGCTGCCTAATGACCTTCCCCAAAAGTTAATAGCTTAAAACATTCATTTAGTTTGCTTGAAACTGTGTACTTTAGAAAGGGTTTGGTGGGTATACCTAGTCTCTGCTCTGCAGTATCATTTAGGCCAAAGGATCTGCTTCCAAGATGGGTATTCTAAGTTGTTATTGACTGTTGGCTCCTCTCCACAGAGTTGCTTGGGCTTCCTTGCAGCATGGTGGCCAGGTTCCAAGCATGAATGCACCGAGGAACAAGAAGTAGTTTCCATCTGACACTGCATCATGTCCTCTGTATTCTACTGGCTGAGAAATCACAGAGCCAAGATTCAAGGGCCTCTTGATGGGAGCAGTGTCAAAGAGTTTTGGGGTGTGCTTTAAAAACATACCTAAGGTTTCCTGGAGGAGAGGAGTGAGCATCTATACATACTGCAGGGTTTGCATGGGGCCTATAAGCTCTCCAGTATGGCTGGAGTAGCCTTAGTCTATCACAGGGTGACTGAAGCCTCGCTCCTGCTACCCTGCATAAGCCTGCAATGTGCATGGCAGATTGTAGGCTCAAAGTGGCTGCAGCACTTCCAGTCCCACATGCCATGTGCTTCTGGAACATTATCCTCCCCATCAAGAACTGGTATCAATTTTCATTCCCCTTGAAACTGGGTGGGCTTGTTACAGAATTGATGCTGTGCGCCTTCTGAGGCTAGGTCCTAAAAGGTGAAATGGCTTCCACCTACCTGCCTTTACCTCAGACACTCATTCTTGGATCCCAGCCAACAGCCCAGGCTTCATGTAGGTGCTCTGGCTGACAGCCCAAGCTAGGTCTCAGCATCAACCATAGGACATCTCAGTGAAAGACCAGCCTTAGAGTCTTCCAAAGACCCAGATGACAGGGGTACCAGTGACAAATCATCTCCACTGTGCCCTACCTGAATCTCTGCCCCACACAATCCATGAACATAATAAATGTTTGCTGTGTGACACAAAGTGGACTCTAACAAGCAGACTTCGGGAAGCAGTTCCATGCACAGGAGTCCGGTGGAGCCTCACCAAAGAGCAGGTTGGCCACTGAAGCTGGCATTCACCCCTGTAACCTGGAGGGGAGGGAGGGGTGTTAAGGGCAGGTGTGCAGCCTTGGGCAGGAGGAATGCCAGAGGGGCTAGAGCACAGCCCTGTGGGAATGCTGTGGTCAAGGAACCACCTGTCATCTTGAGGGCTCGGAGGGACTCTTGGTGAGATCTGCTTCCAGGTGAGGGGTTGAGGTGAGCTGGAGTCGGAGGAACGTAGCTACCAGCCAGACATGACAGTGGGAACGAGGCCTTCTCTGTGCTGGGATAGGGAAGGCTCTGACCAGGCTATGGGATGGTCTGAGGGCCAGGAAGCTGTGTATGGACCACTGGGGCCCTGGTGTTGACAGTTGGGTAGTTCAGGACCAGGGGTAGAGCTGAGGGGCAGGAGGGAGGGATGTTGAGGGCCAGGCATACTGTCGGAAAGGCAGTGAATGACGATCTCTTTACAGCATGGCCTTTGCTGGTTGCCCTGCCCTTCACAGCACCCTGTGGGGGCCTGCGGATGACATCCACTGCAGCCCCATCATCTTTTCACTCATTCTTACACCGTGTTAAATATCTCTTCACTTTTCTGAGTCTGACACATGGGAGGGGCTCCTGCTGCCAGGCAGCTGCTGGGGCTACAGCCCAGATGATGGGTCCGTGGCATGCCTTCAGGAACCTACTGGGGCTCCACAGCTGACCCAGCCTGTGCACACTGTTGGCTGTCACCGAATGGCTGGGCAGCATCAAGCCCTTCGTGAGGGGCCATCCCCATTTCTGCAAGTGCTTGTGGGAAAATGCAGCTGCTGTAAGTCCGCCCCTCAACTTGGCTTCTAGCATTTGCTGAGCAGGAAGTGGGAGTGGCCCACGCTCACCGCAGAGGGCAGGACCACAGGCTCACGCAGGGCCCTGCTCACCCCACTCACCTCTGCAGTCTCCTGGGACCCCCCTCCCAGGCTGCATAGAGGATTTCCTCTGGGCTTCCTTAATATTTAATTTTTTTTCTTTTGGTGTTTGTTCCTAATATAGGAACGTGTCTCTTCCAGCCAATCCTGGCAATTTGAGGGGCATTTTGTGTGTAGTCTCACACTTTGAGGGTGTCCAATTACATCTGTTGGAGGAACAAGTGGCCTGATATTGAATGGACCCTCTGGGCTGGTGTCATTTCTCTGGGTCGGGGTCGTCTGTCCCCTCACCAGCAGATACACCGCTCAGAGCGCAGAAGTTACTGATGATGCACAGAGGTCCTTAAAAGGCTAAGAATGCTGGCTGTGGCAGAGGGAAATTACTAACTGAAATGGAGCTGGCAGAAGCTCCTCCAGCAGGGCCTGATCAGCTGTGGGTGATGTTCACTTGTGAGAGGGGGCAACTTGGCAGGGCTGGGAGCAAGAACTCACACAGAGGGGCTGCCCTGGCCCTTGAAGAACCATAGATGCCAGGGAAGCAGTCTGTCAGCACAGCCCTCATCTGTGAGGGCTCCGGGCCCACCTGACATCCTGCACCCTCTTTGCACTCACCCCTGGCTTGGGGGTGAGCCAGGGACAACCCTTCTGCCTGGAGAAGGGGCCCAGGAAGGGGAGGGTGTCTAGGGTGTCTTAGGTTGAGTTCCCCAAGAAGCTGATCCTGAGAGTAGATTCAAGAGCACACCTAGAGCTTAACCCTGCAGGGAAGCCGCCAGTACTCACATCAGGGTGACTCCAGCCAGGAGGTAGGGTCCTGGGTAGTGTCCTGTGTATTGACTTCTCAGCCTTTGGATGAGAAGTGCTCCCAGGAGGTGTCATTCCCTCACTGGCAAAGCAGCTTTCTAGGGCCAGGAGCCCAACCTCAGGTGGAGAGGTGCAGGGAGGGCAGGAGGAGGTTTCAGAAATGCTGAAGTGGTCACGCCCAAGGCACATGGGTGAGGCACTCCTGAAGCCCCGTGGGGGATGCCAGTGCATGTGTGGCTGTCGCTGATCTGAGGAAGGTGGGGGTCACCCTCACTAGCATGAGCCATCTGAGAAGTGCACCAGGCCCTCCAACCTTTTGATGGTAGAACGTGGGGAGGGACTGTGCCCTACAAGAGGAAAAGCTACCTGCTGGCTGGGTCGGGGAAAGAGGCCCAGGCACAAAGGTGCCATTGGCTTCATGGCTCTGCCTAAGCTATAGAGATCCCCCTCCCCATCCCTCCTAGCTTGTCACTTGAGTATACTCACTTTTCCCCCATCCTCACCTGTGGCCTTTTCATCAGATCCCCATTGGATGGGTGGAAGTGCGGCTACCAGCGCAAACCTGGTGCTGTGTGGAGTGGGGAGATGGGCAGCAAGCCACTGGGGCAGCCCTTGCCAATGGTCTCTTGGACCAGTGGGCCGTGCAGGGCTGCCTCAGGGTGGACCCTGGGCCTCCCAGCAGCCTCTGAGGTCCTGGCTGTCAGTGGTTGGGGTAGGACTAAATGACCTCCAGGGGCCCTTCCAGAATTAAGCATCAACTTTGAAACTGTCCTGTATTTCATGGTATGTCAGGCTCTGTGCTAAGTACTTTAAATTGTTATCCTCTTCAATTCTTACCATGCTCTATGAACTATGTACTACTGTTAGCTTCCGTTTGCAGATAAAGTAACTGAGGCCCCAGAAGTTAACAAGCTAGCCCAAGTTAGAGAGGAAGGGAATGTCAGAGTTGGGTGTGAGCCCTGAGCCAGGCCTAGGACCTGCCCAGTGGTGCAGTGAGGCTGGACCGACCTCTGCTTCTGGTCTGGGGCACAGTCCCATTGACCATGCCCCACCTGACATTGCCCTGCGAGGGACTCCCCTGGGCCGGGCCTGGTCAGCACCTCGCGCCGCCATGCATGGCCTGAAACAAGTCAAGCTACAGCCTCGGTTTTACATTAGTCTTTTATTATAACCATATCGAATGGGATCACTTTGCCAAAAGGAGAAATCATTTCTTAAATCAATTTGAGTTATAGCATAAAGATGGACAAGAAAAAAGTGACAGGACCTAAATGGCATCACTGAATATTCCGTCAATCAAATGAACTGTGCCACTGTGAGAAAAACTACTCTGACAGCTTTGACATCAACGTGGTCTCAAGCCTGTTTATACGGACTTTACATATCTTTGTAACACTATCAAAGAGCTTTAGAAAGTAACACTGAGAAAGCAGTCTGGCCTTAGAGAAGGAAGCCTGGCTTGCCACGTGCATCCTCAATGCATCTGGCTTCCTCACTCCACTTCACAGCCTCCCCTGTCCCCCTCCTTGACAATGGGGAAGGGCCCAGGGGCCCAGGTGTGTGTCCTCAGGAAAGGAGGGATGGAACTGGTTGTGGCTGCCACAAAATGGCCACCCTATGTGGGGAGCTAAGTCTTCCATACACACTCCTGTTCTATAATGAATCCTTGGGGCAGTTTCTTAAAAAAATAAAAACAAAAATAATGTGCATCAACTCTGACAGGTTATTATTAGGAGGCCAGCATGACTGCCACAGCGTTTGATGATATTTATTTAGCATCTCTGACAGAGTAGAGGAGGCATTCCTGTTGAGAGCAGGCAACTAACCCTCCTGAGGCAGCTTCCTTAGCAACCCCAGGGCTGACAGCACAAGAGACAATCCGTCGTCTGCAGACAAGGCAAATCACAGGGAGGTCCTGTTTTATTTTTAGAGTCACATTCATTGTGCAGTGATATTATTTCTTTCCAGATTGCAGTCACCACTGAACATTAGCAGGAGGTCAGCTTTGGAAGAGGAATCCAGTGTAACTAAATGTTTACCATGTTGTCTGACTCCATGGCATACACTTAAGGTAAGGCAAAGTCAGTCATTATGATTTGCTAGTCTGTAACTCTCACATGTAATGTACAGAGCTAAATTTTAACTCAAATTCCAATCTGACCAAAGAGGAATGCATGAAACACATACAGACATATATAAGAAAAGAGATGATGATGGGAATTAATCTAAGCTTCATGTATACAAAATGTATTTAACTGTAATAATCAAAACGTAAGAGAGGTTCCACTGATTACCACATTTGTTAACAAAATATATTCAGGATTTAAAAAATGTGCAATTAAACTAAGCACCTGATAAAATAATAAAAGGAACACATTCTTTAATAGCACTGTAACTAATACAAATGCAAATAATACTCAACTATGAAGAATAAAAAAAATTGCTTAAAAACCGTAAGACAGTAATACAATTAGTATGAGCCCGTGGGAATTTGAGGCTGGTACTGCCCGTGACCCACTGTCCTTATATGTCTCTCTCCTCCAAGGAGGGGGTGAGCTTGTAGGGGCCACAGAAGCAATATCTCTGAGTGAACCCATTGGTCCTCACATGCCACCAACACAGGAGCACAGGATGGAGAGAACCGAGAGGACCTGCCTCTAGTACAAAGCAGGGCTGGGAGTTTTCTGTAACTATGAATCACCCAGCCGACTGCAGTGAGCCAGCCAAGAGCCTTATTGACATGGTGGGTGCCTAGTGGCTCTTGCAGGGCCAGTGACCCTCAGCTATCATGACTCTAGCTCTAGGGCAAAGGAAATCTGCTGACTAAAGGTCAGCAGATGACAGGGGCCCAGCTCCCCAGGGATTGCCAGCTCTGTGGTCCTTTCCACTCTGTCCCAGAGCCCTGGAGGGAACAGCTCTACACCTCTTACTCTAGAACTGAAAACACTGCCCAAGGTGAGAAAGTGACCAATGGCAACCCTGCACAGTTGCAGGTCACTCACTGTATGGGGGCCCCCACAGCTTACAAAGTGTTGTCATGGGGACATGTGCTTGGCAGCAGCTTACTCAGAGGTGCTGAGAGGAACACTCAGAGCCGAAAGCCAGGGAGCTCCAGTGTGCACGTGCCAGGCAATTGCTCAGTGGTGGAAGGCACACTACCTGTTATCTGGCAAACCCAGTGTTATTATTCACCTTCCATGTTGGTGTGGTTAAGAGGAGATTTCCCTGCTAGAGTTTAAGAACAAATTGCAGAGCTAATTAGAACCCTCTCCACAGTAATTGACTTGGGAGCAAGTCACCATTGTCTTGGAGGGCAGGTGGAAAAATCATGTAATTATCATATTTGTCTATGGAGAAATAAGGTTAGCAGTGGGAGGGATGTAAACAGTGTCTGTTCCTTTATAATGAGTTTTCCTTTGTTACCATGAAGGCCTCCACTGCCCAGCTGCCTCACCATCCTCTGAGGACAAGTGCAAAGAGCCAGTCATCCGTGGCATGTTTGCTCTCCCGGACGGAGGTGAGACAGGCCCTGTGTCCCTCTGCCATCCACACCCATTCCTGTTAGAATTCCTGCGCAGGCAAAGGAGAGGAAAAGTATCCTTTCCAGGGATCATCTTTAAGGAGAAAAACAGTTCATGTGATGCCCTGTGCCCATCATGGTTTTTTAACCACACCAACATGGTGCCAAGTGACAAGGGGAGAGTCTCTAATCTGTGCTGAGCCCAGGGAGGCACTGGCATGTCAGACCTGGTCCTGGCAGTGGCACCCAGGATGCAGGGTTCATAGCTGAGCACAGGCCCTGCAGTTCCTACACTGGACTTCCAAGAAAGGAAGGGGTTGTGTAGAAATCCTGCATCCTCTTGGCATCTGGAATGTTTTCTAGGTCTCCTTATTCCCCACAGAAGGGACTCTAGGTCCAATTCTCTAAGTCTTATGACTGCTACTTTAAGGCCAATGTGGCATTCTGACTTTGGGTGGGAATGAACTTGGGTTTTTCCCTTTCTGCTTCAGTTGACAAGTATATACAGCTTTGAAACCAGAGAAACTTAACTGGAAAACTGCCTGAAAAATGTTTATCCCATAAAGTCAAGGTTACATTTTCCATTTCAAGGACAGTAATATTCTTACATCTTTTGAAATCAGTGCAGCAAAAACTGGCTTATAATAACCTTGTTTTCTGGCTATGGAAGATTCTAAAAGGTGAGACGCAATAGTTTAAGGAGAGACAGTGATGGCCAGAGTTGATGTGGCCTAAGGACTGGATGCATTCTTTAATACATCAAAAAACGAATACTACCTCACACCGAAATGTGACTCCTAAGCTTAGACCCTGTTTCCAGAGATCATTATAACTCTGAGAGGTTGGTAATGGTTTTTTTTTCCAGCCCTAAAATCTACTAGTTCTAGTTCATTCTATTGCATTTAGCTCTGTGATATGGCTTCCCAATGTAGGAATAAAGTAGGCTGAGATATAGATTTCCACAGAGGAAGCTTTCTTGGTATAAACCAATTTTCCTATGTCTGATGCTTTGAGGGATAGAAGATAAGAAAATAACTATTTCTCCTCCTTCAAGTATAACTGATGGAGTTGTCACACATCCTTAGTTGGGGAGAAGGGGACAGAGGAAAAGTGATTCTAATTGTGATTTGGTCTTTTCTAACTGTGAGTATGATACTGAGCACATAACTCAGCTCTAACTCAGAGCAAGAGTGGGGTGGGGCTTAGGTAAGGGCCCAGAAAGCCCTGTCTGCATTTGGCAAACCTAAGCCTGTGTGCTTTATGGCCATATATGCTTCTCTCTCAGGGGTTTCAAAGGGCTGGAGCAATGCCAAATGCATGCTGGGAAGGAAGCAGTGCTTTCAGAGGGGTCTCCACTGGGTGAGCCTCGATCTGGGCTTGGGACCACTGAAGGGTGGCTGCATCCCTGTGGTCAGATGTCCAGGGGACTCACGATGGTGAAGCCAGAGTCCTTGCTGCTGTCATCATCAGGGCTGGAGCTGGGGTTGCTGGAGGAAGCTGAGGCTGAGCCCATCAGCGGGTCTGAGAACACCAGTGGGGAGTAGGCTGGGGTCTCGCTTTTCCCAGAGGTGCTTCTGAGAGTGCGAAGAGGCTGGGCCTGCCCAGAGAAGGAGCCCCTGGCACTGCTCCCATCATCATCTTTGGAAATCAGGATGAAGTCATCTGAACTCCCTCTATCGGTGCACACTGGCGTTTCTGAAGAGTCCTGTAACATACAGTTAGAAGTACAGATGGATGAAAGAAGAAACCAGCAAAGAACGGAGTGGAGGGCCCTGTGACTGGGGAACGCACCATGGAAAGCTAGGCCACCTCACCCTCCCTTTGACCTTGAAAGACACAGTGTTTGGCCAGCTTCCCTGAGGCCCACGCTTTTACCAGTGGTACAGGGCCAGCAGCATCTTGTGAGCCCCTCTGAAGCCAAATGCTGGCTTCCCTCGGGGAACAAAGTAAAGCTCCTATTTGATAAGCTTCAGACAGAGGTGGTGTCTGTGCTGCCAGGGAGAGCCCAGGCTCAGGAGCTGGCCAACAGGTTGCAGGCAGAATCCCTACGAGCCTCCTGTGGGACTCTGCCATGCAAATCATCCATCCTCCTTGAATCTTCACTCTCATCTGTGAAACAGGGGTAAAGACAGTGTCTTCCTCCTATAGTGAGATGACATGTGAGCTGCTGGCTGCCTAATGTGAGTTGCCAGATCTGGAGTGATTTTATTACTGGCTAGAAGGATAGCTTTCAGAAGGCCTGATGTATTTCATCTCGTATAGATCTCACTGCCAGCTCATCTTGGGTAGCACACGGGGGTCTTCTGAAGCAACGGCGGGAACTGATAGGTTCTACAAATGTGAAAACTGAAATGGCAATTGCTATACTCTACAATTATTTTCTTTTCTAAGCAAGTATGAGTGGCTTTTAATTTTTTAACTTAATAAAGTTAGCATCCATAAACACAGGTAAAGGTTTTGGGTAGCAAAGTCATAGTGTCAAACTACAGTGTCAAACAAGGATGCATAGTGTCCCTTGGTCACAAGGACATCCAGTGCCAGCCTGGCAGAAACAACACCTCACCCAGTGGTGCTGTAAGGTGATGGAGTGCCCACACCTGCCTCCCTTACCCTGCCTGCCTACCCTCCCCACAGCATGGGTGAAGTTTAGTGCTGGGGTCTCAAGTCTAATGAGATATATGGAATCCCTTGACTGGAAGTGTCTCCTGAGTCCTTGGGCCTCCAGACTGGCATGGCCTAGGCCTCTGTGGGCTGTGTGCAGAGCCAAGAAGGGATTGAGTATCAGCTTTGAGGGAAATCTCGCCTTAAGCCCTGACTGACAGGCCCCTCTCTAAATCTCATGTCCTCCTCAGTGATGTGGGGGGCGAGTGGCTAAATAATGGCTCGGAAACCTTCCACCTCTGATGATTCACCGACCTTTAGGATGTTCAGTTGGAGAACAGAAACATAATTGGCCTTTAACATCACAGAGCTGTAACAGGCCTTAAGGTTGTTCATCTCAGGTTCTAAAGGTGCTAACATTCTATTAACATGTTAACTCCTCAAAAGTGAAGAAAAACACAGCACACGGCACTCTGTTAGCAGGGGCTGTGATAACAAATGGCACCAGAGCTGTTTGAGAGAGGACTGCCTTTTTTCTGAGTTGGAGGAAAAGAACTCAAACCTCTTTCCCATGACTATCCCCATGTAAGGTACACCTGGTCAGAGCCATGCTGCCTTTGTGGGGTGGGGCTTCTCCTCCCCCCACACATGTGGTGTGCATTGAAAGCTGCTGGGGCATCAACACAGGCCCTGTGTTTGACTTCTTCCAGAGTGCACTTTGTTCATAGGACAGTTGTACTGCATTGGAAACTGAAAGTCTTGACCTCTCACCACAACACAGGGCTGGAATGCTAATTGGTAAAGCTTATCCTAGGTTGAAAATAAAAGGGCACGTTTAGCAGGGCCTATTTTTTTTAGAGTGGTGCCTCTTCAGAGATACTGAGATCACTTATTCTCCTTTAGCTTACAGTGAAGATGTCAGTAAGATTCTGAAGGGGAGAAATACTTTCCAAAGCCCATGACTAAAAGTAAAGGTAGTTTCTACCATTACTCTAGTTATTTGGCATGCTTCCCCCAGTTCCCAGATGAGGGTCTCAGACTGCCTTAGACAAAGCAAGTTAGAGCTGACAGGGCCTTAGCAACCATTTTCTTTTACTGAACCCCTTCCTTGCCCCTTTGCATTACAAATCAAGAAAAGAACCCCGCTCACGCCTGTAATCCCAGCACTTCGGGAGGCCAAGGTGGGTGGATCATGAGGTCAAGAGATCCTGGTCAACATGGTCAACATAGTGAAACCCCATCTCTACTAAAAATACAAAAAATTAGCTGGACACGGTGGCACATGCCTGTAATCCCAGCTACTCAGGAGGCTGAGGCAGGAGAATTGCCTGAACCCAGGAGGCGGAGGTTGCGGTGAGCCGAGATCGTGCCATTGCACTCCAGCCTGGGTAACAAGAGCGAAACTCCGTCTCAAAAAAAAAAAAGAACCCCAAATAGGAGACCGGGTAGCTTGGCCAATGTCACAAAGCACAACAAAAGACCCCACTCTTCTGAACTCCCACCTAGAATTTGTTTCTAGATGCAGAGTTGACATCTTTATGGACTTCCCTAGCGGCCATAACCACTATCTGGGACCATTATAGCATTTACAGACATTTCGTAAATTCCTACGTCAGTCCTCTCTTTTTAGCAGACACATGCAAGAAAACGTTTTCTACCTGTCAGTCCTGCCTAAAACTAGCCAGGATGGTAACAACACATATCCCTTTTACCCGCTTCCTGCCATCTTCCCAGACCTACCTCATTTCATAGCTTGAGTTCAGGATGGCTGTAGATGCAGGTGAGCCCAACTATAGACCAGCACTGTTCAACAGACATTTTCCATGAAGATGGAAGTATTCTCTATCTGTGCTACCCAAGGCAGCAGCCCCTAGCCACCTGCCTGCTAGCCACAGGTGGGTACCAAACACTTGAAAAGTGGCTAATGTGACTGAGGAACTGAATTTTTAATTCTATTGAATTTTAGTACATTTAATTTAATTTTAAATAGATATGTGGCTAGTTGCTATAATATTAGACAATAGGCAGATTAAAACAGGGTACCTGAGAAGCAAAAAGGCAAGTGATAGGCTGCTTGACTAATGAATCCAGGGTCCCAGAAAGTCCTCCTCCTCCTGCAGTTGATTCGAGTTAGCTTATCAGATACTTCCCAAAGGAATGTGTGAGGATAGATGCTAAGATGGGACGGATAACGTCTGGCTCCTCTCACTCTATAGAATACAATTTCACAAGACTGCTGTTTTCAGAGCTGGAGGTAAGATTGTAAACCAAACAGAACAGCATGTCACACCAACCTCACAGTCAGGAGCACGGCATGTGAATTCCCGCAAAGGAAGGACACTTCACAGTTGCTGATGAGGAAGGGCATCAGCAGGAGGCTATGAGTGATCCGTCCCCAGGTGGGGGATCCTGGTCCTTCTGCACTATCTTTTAGACATTATTTACTGATTAACCAAGAAAGCAATGAAAACCCATCCCTAAATTAAGAATGTGCTATGGCACAACCCATCACAAACCCAACATGTTGTGCTTACATCTCTGATGTGTCAAGAAACTGCCTAGCACTGCTCCCCTAGGCCCTGGCTCTTTATAGCTGGAAGCTCATGAGGGCAGGGGATGATATCCCATTGCGTTGGACACCCAGTTCCTGGAACAGCAGGCCTTGGAAACCTTCGGAACTCCTACTTGGTTCTCTTGGGAGGCATGTTCCTGGGGGTAGCCTGTTGACAGCCCTCTGTACCTCCTCCCACAAGCAGTGAGAAGGAAACCTTAGCTCCAAGCACTGATGAGTTAGCTCCTGCAGGGAGAAGGTGGATACTTGGCAGCTATCTCATGCCTGGTAGCTCCCCTGGCCCCTTAGCAGCCTAGCCTGGATCCTTGGGCTTTGCAGTGGAAGGCCCTATGCACCTGCTTGCTTGAATTCAGGAATTCTCTCAAGAAATTTCAATATTTCCCTGGAGAGAGGAGAGAGCACAGCTTCCCTATTTCTCTCTTCAGTAAGACTGTTTTCAGGAGTACTGGCTTTGTATAAACTGCTAACAGCTATGGGGAGGGGTCATGCAGGGAAGAGGTAGAGAAGAAAAACCATTTTATTTTCACTTGTGGGGTCCTTAGGCCCAGGAAGGGCTGACTGTGTCTCGGAAGCACACACAGAGGTGCAGTGTCTCCTGGATGCTGCACGTGATGAGGCCCTAGGCAGTTTCATTCATGGCAGACATGTCTTGTGGCTAGCTTATCTTGGATATGCACACAGAGGTCCGCCGGGGCAGCAGTGGTCACTGGTAGACTCTTACAAATACAGAAACCACTAGTGACAACTGCAAAGTATAATAAGTTTTAAATTTAACAAATTCATCAGTGATTTTAAAATGTCTTTTTCTGTAGTACATTGACACACTCAACTAAGAAATTATGCTGAAGTTTTAAATTGTCAATTAAAAATGCACTGTGGTTGGACCCACGCTCAGTAATATTTGAATAAATAAATGATTATTGAAAAGTAAAACATCTGTGCAGGGAAGAAGAGTTTGTGAAGAAACAAATGAAATTAAACTGGCAGCATCATAGTTGCATTCACATGGCTACAAATACAGTCAAAGCACTCCATGAACGTTTCCTATGGCTTCAAGAGGAAGTTAACCATGGAGTTCTCTCTTTTGGAAAAGCATCCTTAAGACTGAAAAACATTCCCACTCAAATGTCATTTTGCTATTTTAAAATCACACAAAAAATAATTTACAAGTGTCTGAATGCAATTTGAGAAAGTGACTTAGATAATATTTTGCTAATGTTCATTTTCCAAGACGAAACTTTGTAAGCTGATTTTAAAATTGAGAATTTATCAGATAAAGCACAGCAAGGCAGCATGGTGGGCTGAACTTACTGGGTTGGTGCAGGGTTTCTAAAACATGATGCCTGGCAGGCAAAGCAGCACTGGCCTCAAAGCCTCTGTGTGTCTCTCTGGCCTTCATTTTCTCACCAGTAAAATGAGCAGGCAGGACTAAGCACATAAGGAAGCTATAGGAAGATGCTTTCTAGCTGGGAAATTCTGTGGTTCTGCATTAGAATAGATACACAATGTTGAAATCTGAGAGCAGGGGTCAGCAAACTATGGCCAAATCCAGCCTGTGGCCTGTTTTGCATAGCCCTCAAGCTGAGAAAGTGTGATAAAAACAAAAATAAAATACAAAGAAAAAAAACAATGAATATGTGATGTAGATGACCATATGTTGCCTGCAAATCCTGAAACACTGACTCTATAGCCCTTTACAGACTCCGGCGCAGATCATGGGCATTAATGGGAAGTCCTTCCCAAGATGGCAAGAAAGTAATTTTGCAAAAAAGGTTCTAGCCAAGTGAAATCCACTCAAGACAGCATTAGGAAAGCCTAGACAGTACTTCCTAAAGGGGAACAGAGGCATCCACTGGAGGCAACTGACTGATAACTAAGACAGAGATCTAGCTTTCCTATCCCACAGAATGGGCATGGTAGGAGGCTCAGGCAGCACTGAGGTTTGCAGGGCACGTACTGCACGACTCTAGGAGACACCTGCCTCATCATCATCGTGAATGGCACCCCCTGCAGCACAGAGTGCACAGCCTGCACAGCTGAACTTCACACATGCTAACCTGAAGTCACGTTGGTAGGGTATATGTTATTAACTTTGAAGATCTTATGTGAATGCACTCCCTTTGAGTTAATGTAACATGTTCATTAGAGCTCCCGTACCTGCTTAGTAGCCCCAGACATTTCATCACTCGGGCCTTGGCCTCGGCCTTGGCCCTGGCCGCTGGAGCAGTAGTGGTTGTCCGCAATGGTGATCTGTTCGTTCTCTTCGGCCTCTAGCTGGCTCTGGTTAAAACGCAGGGAACCTTTTAGAATGTCTTTGATCTAGTTCCAAAGAAGAAGAAAATAAATGAAAAAAATGGACGAGTTTGTTTTCAGATGCTAGCTGAATCTCTTAGACATTTAAACTAGCCTTGTCATCAATCACTTTTTATAGTATGAATATTTATGTTTTAGCATAAGAAACAAATAATGGGGAAAAAAATCAAACTTTATCAAAGCTGCTGACTTAACAGTGAGCAAGGAAAATGTCAGGTCATTTAATAGCCAGGTTTTCACTGGGTGGGATATAGGAGTCACATATTTGGTAGCTATCTTAAAGCAGGAGGCAAAATTTGTCTGGACACCCACCCCCACTGCACACCTTGGTCACTAAAGTGGCTCCACGTGAGCTGGACTGTTTATAGCAGGTAGGCATTTGGAAACAGCATATTTTTCACTGACATATATGTTCCCTTTAGATCTTCAAGGCTTGGGTCAATGTGGTCCTTGAGAGTGTGAGGCATGGTATAGGTACTGATTATGACTTGTGCTCCAAAGACATTCATGAATTCATGGATGAATGACTGAACATGATGCTGGTCTACCCATACTAGCTTTGGGTGAGGAACAAACAGAATGGGCTTGGTAAGAGAGGAAGGGGCGGTATGGGAAATGGAAACCAGCATGAGCTGCAAGCTAGTCAGATACAATCGTCAGAAGGAGCAGGGGCATAAAGAGGCGGAAATGCAGAAGGAGCTCTGTCTGGGAGGAAATAAGAGGTAGGGGGATGCTAGCTCTAACATCATGGTATTCCATGCCCTGGGGTCCTCCCCACAGCAGGCGGGACACAAAGAAATAGTGCCAGAACAATGCACATACCTGTTTTAATCCTGCCAGAGAAACCAGAATTTGATCTTCTTTTTCCAAATTTTCTTGTAATATCACATCTTGAATATTTACTGAAAATAGAAGAATGACATTTTATAACCAGTGCTCTGAGCATAACTTACCTGCTGCCACACCATAACTTCAGACTGGCTTGGGAAGTTTTCTGCCAAATCTCACAGCAACTATTTCCACAAAGGATGCTCTGCCAACTGCAGATGGGGAATCTGCAGGGCTGACTGGAGAGGGCAGCACTGGGCTTGGCACACACAGCCTCCCCTCCAACGTCCCATGAATGTGCTCTCATAGTAACAGATATGTCTTCACTTCCAACCAGAGACCTGGGCACCTCTTGTTGACATGATGTAGCCAACAGCCTGGGCCATTCATCTAATCTCTAGGAGGACGCTTTTCAGCCAAAGCCTTCCTAGATAGCCTCATGGGTCAATGATTTGACCAATTCCTTCCAGGTGACTGAAATTAACAAAGAAACTATCTTTAAGGATTTATAACAGTAAAACATGTTGCTATTTCAACATAATAGTAAAAAATGAGAGGCCAAACTCATGGCACTACAGATTGCCATTAGATGACCATGTCTATGGAGTCTCCTTTAGGAGACTTAGCTACCACAAAAGAAGTCTTTCCTCCAGACCTGATCTGAGGGACCCACCAAGCCAGCTTCTGACCATCAGGCTCAGTATCACACTGAGTTGCTTGCCCGTCAGTAAGTTAAACACTCAGTGGTCCTTAGCCTTCCCTGTGCCTACAGGATGCACACAGCTCTATCAGGAACTGTGGCGTTCTGGGGCAGGACTCTCAGAAGGAGCTGGGGTCGGGAGGAGAAGTGAAAGCCTAGTCTCCTGGGGGCACACAAGAGAATGTGTTGGTGGAGGGAAGGAGGAGGGCACAATTAAAACACATTTTCAAAAACATGCTGATAGATAGCTAAGTCAATTCTCATCAAAAAGAACAAAGTTGGAGGCATCACATCTACCTGACTTCAAACTATACTACAAGGCTACAGTAATCAAAACAGCATGGTACTGGTACCAAAACAGAATATAGACCAATGGAACAGAACAGAAGCCTCAGAGGCAATGCCACACATCTATAACCATCTGATCTTTGACAAACCTGACAAAAACAAGCAATGGGGAAAGGACTCCTTGTTTAATAAATGGTGTTGGGAAAACTGGCTAGCCATGTGCAGAAAGCAGAGACTTCCTGACCCCTTCACTAAAATTAACTCCAGATGGATTAAAGACTTAAACATAAGACCTAACACCATAAAAACCCTGGAAGAAAATCTAGGTAAAACCATTCAGGACATAGGAGTAGGCAAGGACTTCATGAACAAAACACCAAAAGCATTGGCAACAAAAGCCAAAATAGACAAATGGGACCTAATCAAACCCCACAGCTTCTGCACAGCAAAATAAACTATTATTAGAGTGAATCGGCAACCAATAGAATGGGAAAAAATTTTTGCAATCTATCCATCTGACAAAGGACTAATATTCAGAATCTACAAAGAACTAAAACAGATTTACAAGAAAAAAGCCCATTCAAAAGTGGGCGAAGGATATGAACAGACACTTTTCAAAAGAAGACATATATGAGGTCAACAAACATATGAAAAAATGCTTATCATCACTGGTCATTAGAGAAATGTAAATCAAAACTACACTGAGATACCATCTCACACCAGTTAGAATAGCAATCATTAAAAAATCTGGAGACAACAGATGCTGGAGAGGATGTGGAGAAATAGGAACACTTTTACTAATTTGGTGGGAGTGTAAATTAGTTTAACCACTGTGGAAGACAGTGTGGCGATTCCTCAAGGACCTAGAAACAGAAATTCCATCTGACCCAGAAATCCCTTTACTAGGTATATATCCAAAGGATTATAAATCGTTCTATTATAAGGACACATGCACACGAGTGTTCATTGCAGCACTGTTTACAATAGCAAACACTTGGAACCAACCCAAATGCCCATCAATGATAGACTGGACGGGGAAAGTGTGGCACATATACACCATGGAATACTATGCAGCCATAAAAAATGGTGAGTTCGTGTCCTTTGTAGGGATATGGATGAACCCGGAAATCATCATTCTCAGCAAACTGACAAAAGAACAGAAAATCAAATGCCACATGTTCTCACTCATAGGTGGGTGTTGAACACTGAGAACACATGGACACAGAGAGGGGAGCATCACACACTGGGGTCTGTGGGGGAGAACTAGGGAAGGGACAGCAGGGGGTAGAGGGTTGGGGAGGGATAGCATGGGGAGAAATGACAGATATAGGTGATGGGGGGGGGAGGCAGCAAACCACATTGCCATGTATGTACCTATGAAACAATCTTGCATGTTCATATGTACCCCAAAACCCAAAATGCAATAAAATATATATATAAAAAAGTGAGTTGCTTTTAAGTAGCCAAAAAAAAAAAAAAATGCTGAGGTAGACGCACCAATTTGAGAATCACTACAGTGAGTGAGTTCACCCTCCATTAACATCTTTTTTATTCCTTGCAGTGTTAAAAAATGCCCCATTTATAATGTCTTACATGCTACATTTTTAGTGACTCACTTAAGAGACTGTTCCAGTCTCTGTGGGATTCCTAGATTCCATGCTTGGTCCTGTAGAGCTACTAGGGCTAATATACCACTTCTCAGTTAGTTGCTCAATGTCCCACATTGGCAGTGACAGAGCCAGTGCACTGTGCCCTGGGCCTGGAGGCTCTTGTTCCAAATCTATGCACACAGGCTTCTCTTTACTGTTCAACTTTCTACCCCAGTGCTGTCTCCTCAGAGCAGCCTTCCTGCCCACCCAGACTAAAGAAGCCCCCAAATCACTCTCCAGGCTCTACCACACCATCTATTATACTGTATTTGTATGCACTTGTCATTGTCTGATGCATGTATATGTGTTGGTTTATTCACTGTCAAGCTCCCCCTACCGGGATATCAACTCCAAGACGTTCTTGCTCAGAGTTTTATTTCTAGCCCTCAGAATAATGCCTGGTGCATTACGGGTACACTATAGGTATTTACTGACTGAGGGAATGAATGAATAAATGAACATGAAAAAACACGCTTGGAACTTGAGTATCAAAACACTACTATTCTAAATATTTCCAAAAAGTATTTTCAGTAAGGGGCAAGACAAAGACTGATACCGTCAACATGCTTCCAGCCTGAAAACTTATTAGAATCTTCAGTAAGAATAAATTCATAAACCAGGTGATAAGTCATCTTACAAAATGTAGCAGAAAAGCAACAGCTTTCATTTATCATGAAAACGTGACTGTAGTTTTGGCTACTAGAATGGCCTGCTCCAAAATAAGAAAGCAAGTTGAATGCAAATGGAATGACAGATATAATTAGAGAGCAAATGCTTTTGTTTCCTTAAAATCCTATAACCATTTGTTCTCTCTCAATAAAACAAAACAGAATCCACTCAACAAGACGTTAACAATAAGCAACTGCAGAAAATCTGCAAGAACCGGTTATGTATGTCTTTTAGAGAAGCAGTCCCCAACCTTTCCGGCCCCAGAGACTGGTTTCATAGAAGACAATATTCCCACAAACGGTGGGGGAAATGGTTTTGGGATGAAACTGTGGCACCTCAGATCATCAGGCACTAGAGTCGTAGAAGTGGCACACAACCTTGATCCCTCACATGCGCAGTTCATGATAGGGTTTGCACTCCTACAAGAATCTGATGCTGCCTCTGATCTGACAGGTGGCGGAGCTCAGGTGGTAATGCTGGCTCATGTGCCCCTCACCTCCTGCTGTGTAGCCCAGTTCCTAACAGGTCGTGGACCGGGGGTGGGAACCCCTGTTTTAGAGGATTGAGAAAGATGACTTTGCAGGATTGCTACAGCTTTTCAGGTTGAGCTGTGAGGGCCTGAAGGCTGGCAGAGGCAGCATGTCACATAGCACTGGGTGCCTGGACAGGGAAGTGGATTTTGCCCTTGCGGAGCTGAGAGGTGGGCTCAGGTTTCCAGCTCCTACTGGGTAGTTGAGGGCAACAAGGGGACTGCTCTCAGTCCCCAAAGGAAGCTTAGCTGGTGGAGTCAGGAGCATCAGGACATTTGAAAGAAGGACAGGGGGCTTCTCGGGTTCAAGGAACTAAAGAAAGTGCCCCTGGAGGTCACACCCACAGGGCAGAGGCCAGCACAAAGCCGGAATCTGCGGAAACCAATGTAAGCTTTCCTGCTGCCCTGACTAGAACTTTGTCTCCTGCATGTCCCTTTGATAGTCTGCTGTGGAACGTTATCCTAAAACAAAAGATTTGGCCAAATTGCCTGGTTTCTTCCCCCAATGTAATAGTGGGGCTCATGGCCAGCAGCAACAAGGACCAAAGGCTTTTAGTTCACAGTCTATGGGCACACAAGGCAGTCAGTGGCGCCAGTGGAAAATGAAACCCAAAAATGTACAAGAACACAAAGCTTTCTTTAGAGGAAAGGACTTAGAAGGCACCCAGAAACTCTTCCTCAAACACCAAACAGACATGTGAGCCCATCCCAGAAACCTGGCACCATCTTGGCACCACAATGCAGCCTACTAGTCTTGCCCTGCAGGCAGAATACAATGCTCTGGCCTGATGTGCAACACAGCGGTGGAACGCAGTGCAGAGTGGGTTCACCCAGTAGAGGGAAGAACTCAGAACTGTAGTATCACCACCAGCACACCCTCATCCCGCAATTCCTTAGCCTTAACTTATGGACTGAGTCAAGGAACACCTTTTAGGATTTGATGAAAACAGGACCTTCTTCCCTGAAAACCCATGTACATATGAACTGTTCACTTAATTTCAGGGATAAACCTTTGTTTTAATCAACTAAGCTGAATAGGCTGACTTTAAGAAATTTAGGGTAAATCCAAATTAAAACAAAAGGGCATCTTCAGAGGCTGTTAAATGTTCTGAATACAAGAATTGACATCTTACTAAAAATACTGACCATATAAATACATTTCCTAACAGTTCCCCTACATAAGGTAGCATTTACAAACATTCTGCTTACATATAACCTCCCAGTAACCAATCTACTGTT